GTTGCACTAGCATATTGTTCCTTGTATAGCCGTTCAGTCTGTCGATGTAAATCACCAATGAAGAAGCCCATATGTGTAATGATATCACCATTCATCAATCGTAGTGCACGATTGAGCATGGGATACAAGAACATTTGGCAGCTGTACCAATAAATCGATGTTTTCTTGTGGTATTCACTTTCTAATTGTTTAAGGTTTTCAATTTCCTCTTCATTATCGACAAAAGCATCGCGACAGTAATCAAAATAATCTTGGATGTGGCTCTGGCCGAATTTGATGGTCAGCAAAATTTCTTTGATGATTTGAGTATACATGAAAGAAGGATCTAATTGATCCATCTTTTTATTTGTTCCCATGAAACTCATAGGAATAGCATTCTGTTCACATTGATGAGCAGCTCCCTTGAGTGCTTCACAGATGGGTGTAATATCTGTGAAGACACCCTTTATTTTAGGCCAATCTTTGGTCCATTGTTCATGATGTTTTCTGTTGCCACAAAAAATAAATATTGAATCAACTTGAAACATATTGTGCACACGAGACACAATATGTTGCCCCAGCGATCCAGATATAATCATACACACCTTTTTGTCGACGATGGTTTGAATAAATTCAAGGCATTGATCACCATCTGTAAATGTTTTAAAGTCGTTAACAACACGTCGTAATTTTGTAGTTGTATTTTGACATTCATCATTTGTTTCGTCAATGTTACTGTCTAACCAGATTAGAAGAACATTTTGTACCTGTCGGATATTGATACGTCGACGATCTTCTGCACCTTTTGAAACTGTAGATGCATTTGTTGTTGATTTTCCTTTGTTCATTGTTTGCTATATGAATGGTTTGAATTGAAGTTACTGTGTAAAATTTACGAGTGAGGTAATGATCAAAACCGATTCTTTTTATACGTGTCTACTTCCTTTCAAAATGTTTTATCTTTAACCTTTTATCTCATTGTTACGCAAAAAACAACAACTGAAGAACGAAAAAAAGCAAACTGGTGAAATCCTATATTATAATGCTCGGTGTTTGTTTGCAACGGGATCTAGTAGAACATGAGTATAAGCGGTTAAGAGTGACAATATAATGGTATAAGAAAGCAGGGATATGAAGGATTAGAGTATATCGGGATATTGATTTAATATGCATCTACATATATAATGCGACTTTTTGATTATTTATTATTGAGTCATGGTAAAAACGGAAGTATAAAGTTGTACTTGGAAGTGAATCAGCCGTGCAGTATTCATGGGTTCCCGTTCGTTGTATATATGACCATCACATCGCGTGTAACCTTTAACCTCCTTTACTGAGAATAGATAAAAACCAAAATAAAACTGTTTTTATCAATTTAATGTATTTAATAATTCTTAGATTGATATAACTAGATAATTAAAACATCAATTTATTGGATTAAAATGTTCATAAAGACCTCTTCTTTTTTTTGGTTATTTTAACTATATTCAATAAATATGATGAAGCAAAAAGAACACGTTTTATACCTTCTTAACGTCGTAACACATGCACTTGTATGTCTCAGTTTGAAAAAAAGAAAAAGAACGGAAATATTTTTTTGTTTTCTTTATAATCAATAAAAACGAGAAGTAGTCGACTATTTGAAAAAGATATTGATACACAAACAACTTAAAAAATACATATTTTTCCGATTGTGTGACAAAACTATATCTATTTGAATTAAATTAAATCGAAATTTGTTTTTACATACAAGTTTAGAACATATTATCTACACTGAATATTGATCTAATATGATATCAAACGATCCTAGGGAATGATATATCTTGTTTTTTATCTAACGAGTTATATGAAGTTATGTATTCCATAAACCGACAATATTCTCATCAAGATCTGTTATGTTATACAGCTGATTTTTTGCAAAATCAATTCTTTTTCTATCATTCTTTACTTTACCTTTTTTTTCCTTCTTACGAGGGAACCGCCCCAACTGTCCAATCGCTTTTCAGTTCGGGTCCCATGCATAAAGTAGACCCTAGTGGGGTATGAAAAACCCCAAAAGGATAAGGGCCGCTAGGCCTTCTGTCCCGAGTTATAGGCCATATACTGGAATTTTAGCCTATGATAGGGTATGTAGAAATAAATC